TAGAGTTCTTCCAACATTTAATAATGCGATTTTTACACTGCCCCAGAAAGCTTCACAACTCATTCTAGGAAGCCACTTATCTTGTAAAAAACAGGATAGCACATGTGCACAAATACAAAGGAAGACAACTATAACGATCTTTTACAATCATAAAAGAATGCTAAAGTAAAATCAACAATACAGTAAAAGAATAAAATATGCAGAACAAGGTTCTGAATCCAAGAATACAGGGCTGGTTCAACACTGAAAATCAATACATCCTATATAATAAAAGAGAAAGATGTAAACTGACCATCCCTCCATGACGCCTACCAGCCAATCAGGTGTGAGTATGCAAATTAACCCAACAAAGATGGCGGGTTAATTTGTATATGCGGACGCCGAGCAGCCTGGGTCCTGGGAACATCCTCGGGACCCAGGCCGCTCCGAGCCTGTAGGCCCGCGTGTAGGCCTTGAGCGGCCGGTGTCACAGAACGCCCCGGCCAGGAGTGGCCTACGGGCACCGGCGCCAAGCGGCCCGGGTCACGGCACAAGCGGCCAGGGACACCAAGCACAAGTGGCCACAGGGCGGGGCAGGAACTTCCGCCTCAAGTTCCCACCCCGCGGCCGCTTGCGTGTGCACCCGCGCCAAGCAGCCCGGGTCCCAGGACAAGCAGCCGGGGGCGCCAAGCAGGCTGGGTCCCGGGACAAGCGGCCAGGGTGCCAAGCGCAAGCGGCCACGCCAAGTGGCCCGGGTCAACGCCCCCCAGCCTGGTGGACACAGCGAACGCAGGGCCGCCAGGCTTGGGGGTGTGCCCCCAGCAGCTGCTGCGCGCCGTGTCCGCGGGATCCATGTCCCCCAGCCCGTGGACACAGCAAATACGCGGCCGCCGGGCTTGGGGGCGTGCCCCCGGCGGCCAGCCGGACACGCCCCTAGCCCAGTGGACACAACGCAGGGGATTCTCTGTGCATGGGCTGCAGAGGAAACACCTTTTCTTTTCTTTAAAAAATATATTTTATTGATTTTTTTACAGAGAAGAGGGGAGAGGGATAGACTGTCAGAAACATCGATGAGAGAGAAACATTGATCGGCTGCCTCCTGCACACTCGCCACTGGGGATGTGCTCCCAACCAAGGTACATGCCCTTAACAGGAATCAAACCTGGGACCCTTCAGTCTGCAGGCGGATGCTCTATCCACTGCACCAAACCAGTTCAAGCGTAAACACCTTTTCTGACCGCGCATTGGCTAAGCTCCCTATACGCCGCCACTTGCAGTGTTCTTGGTAACTTGGGTTATAAGAATCCAAGAAGGTGATCTAGGGTTTTTCCACCACACTCCTGAAGGAAAAAATGAAGGTCTGCTGCTGGAGGGGCTAAGAAATGTCATATCCTGCCCTAGCCGGTTTGGCTCAGTGGATAGAGCCTCAGCCTGCCAACCGCAGGGTCCGGGTTCGATTCTGATCAAGGGCATATACCTAGGTTACAGGCTCCTCCCTGGCCTGGGCCCAGGTCAGGACTCATGCGGGAGGCAACCAATCAAAGTGTCCCTCTCACATTGATGTTTCTCTCTGTCTGTCCCTCTCTCTTCCACATTCTCTAAAAATCAATGGAAACATACCCTCAGGTGAGGGAGGGGAGGGTAGGGTAGGGGAGGGGAGGAAAGAAAAGTCATATCCTATGAAAGACATATCTTGAAAATGCCTAAAGAAAGTTGTCATTTTTTCATGGTGAAGGGACTGGAGTCCGTGTTGATGAAAACACCTTGGCGGCTGTGGTGGCTGGCAGTGGCTGCAGTAGCGGGGTGATGGGGCTGGCGCCTTCCCCTGATCAGCCTGGTAACCTCCCACAGAGGGAGGCCAGACTGTGGCTTTAGGCCCGCTCCCGCGAGGAGAGGGGCACACACCTAAGCCATCAATAGGACATCCTCTGAGGGCTCCCAGTCTGTAAGAGGGGGCAGGCTGGGCTGAGGAACCCCCCCGCCCAGTGCACGAATTTCATGCACCGGGCCCCTAGTTACTCTATATTGCAAGATAAAAGAAGGGGCCTCATCAATCACCTCAAGAAATACAGAAAAAGCAACTGATAAAATTAAAACCCAACTCAAAAAACAAATGTTCTTAGCTAAGCAAAAATATCAGAAACCTACAGCAAACACCATACTCAATATTAAAAGAATGCTCATTTAAGTCGAAAAAGATGACAAGACAAAGACACCTGCCATCACCCATATTATTCAACATTATATTGGAGGGCTTGACAATGAAGGTTTCTAGAAGTATAAGAAAAAGAAATGAGATATAAATATTAGAAGAGAAGAGATTGCAAATATGACTGTGACTAGAAAATCTAAAGCATCAAACTATTAAAACAAGATTCTAATAAGCCAGTTGTATATAATTCAATTACAAAAACACTTTTCTATAGATCAGTAACAAATTTGAGAATGTAATAGGACAAACAAAACTATACCATCCACAATGAAAACAAATATAACATATCTAGGAATTAAATAAAGTAGAAGAACTATAAAAAGAAAATTGTACTACTATAAGTTCCACTGGGGCAGGAATCTCTGTGTGGTCCGTTCAGTATGCATCCAATCTCTTAGGTAAGTGCCTGGCACATTCAATAAGCATGTGATAGATGACTGACGGGCATAAAAGAACTTAACAAAGGCATTCTCATTGCTGGATGAAAGAACCCATATGGTAAAAATACCAATCGTTCCCAAGTTATGTTGATAAATACAATGAAATCCTAATAAAAATTTCAGATTTACAGAACATGAAGATTCAGAAGTTCATTTTTTTATATTGTAAGAACAATTTCGCCGAAACCGGTTTGGCTCAGTGGATAGAGCGTCAGCCTGCGGACTGAAAGGTCCCAGGTTCGATTCCGGTCAAGGGCATGTACCTGGGCTGCGGGCACATCCCCAGTAGGAGATGTGCAGGAGGCGGCGGATCGATGTTTCTCTCTCATCAATGTTTCTAACTCTCTCTATCTCTCTCCTTTCCTCTCTGTAAAAAATCAATAAAATATATTTATAAAAAAAAAAAAAAAGAACAATTTTAAAGAAATTTCTTTAAAAGAACATGCTATTTAATACACGCAAAATGAAGCAATAATTTTTTAAAATTTATTATAAATAGTAAGTTAACATGTAAAAAAGATGGATAAGATTTAGAATTCAATCAATCATATTAGAACTGTGAGAAGCCCCAAATTCACACCATACCCAAAATAAAGTCTCATCCTATATAATAAAGAGGTAATATGCAAATTGACCATCACACCCTCACACAAGATAGCCACCCCCATGTGGTCAAAGATGGCCACCTCCATGTGGTCACAAGATGGCCAGCGGGGGAGGGCAGTTGTGGGCGATCAGACCAGCAGGGGAGGGCAGTTACGGGCAACCAGGCCAGCAGGGGAGGGCAGTTAGGTGTGATCGGGCCAGCAGGGTGACCAGGCCTGCAGGGGAAGGCAATTGGGGGCGACCAGGCCTGCAGGGGAGTACAGTTGGGGGTGACCAGGCCTGCAGGGGAGAGCAGTTGGGGGGGACCAGGCCTGCAGGGGAGAGCAGTTGGGGGTGACCAGGCCTGCAGGGGAGGGCAGTTGGGGGTGACCAGGCCTGCAGGGGAGGGCAGTTGGGGGCAACCGGGCCGGCAGGGGAGGGCAGTTGGGGGCGATCAGGCCGGCAGGGGAGCAATTAGGCGTCAATCAGGCTGGCAGGGGAGTGGTAGGGGGTGATCAGGCAGGCAGGCAGAAGCAGTTAGGGGCAATCAGGCAGGCAGGCAGGCAGACAGGTGAGCAGTTGGGAGCCAGCAGTCCCGGATTATGAGAGGGATGTCTGACTGCCAGTTTAAGAGATTGGGCCTAAACCAGCAGTCAGACATAGCCCGAGGGGTCCCAGATTGGAGAGGGTGCAGGCTGGGCTGAGGGAAACACGCCCCCCCCCCCCCCAGTGCACAAATTTCGTGCACCGGGCCTCTAGTATGGAATTAAAGTTAAAATTAAAAAAATAATAATAAAGCAAAGGAGCACAAAATAGTAAAGCATACAGGAACTCTTGGCATGGCAACACTATTACGGAAAAAAAAAACACATTAAAAATATACAAAAAATTCTTTAAAACAATGAGAGAGATCAACCACGCAATAAAAAAAATACAAATGATACAAGCAAGCAGAAAAATAAATACAATGTATGAAAACATAATTTCACTAGACACAAAAGGAAATTTAAGTTACAACGTTGAAGCTATTTTTCTGTCTCAAGATTATAAAAAATATAGTAATAAACTCTTAGAAAGTGTATGGGAAATGGGGTACTCTCATACATTACTAACGGTACCAGCGTTTTTGAGGACAACTTGGCAATAGCTATCAAAATTGTAAACATATGTAATTTCCACTTGAAGCAGTATCTATCCTCCAGAAATATTGGTTTAAGCACACCAAGACGTGTCTAGAGATGTTTGGTGCAATGTTTTCTAAAGCAGTGAAAAAGTATAAAACTGAAACAGTTAAACAATAGTGGGTCCAAATGGTGCCCACCTACTGGGTGCTCACCTACTGTAGACTCACGAAGCTCGCAGGGCCTAACCCTTAAATGGACAAAGGGACAGCAGAATGCTACCTGGTTCCAGTCTTGCTGTTAGACCACAGAGCTGTAAATGTACACAGAAAAGAGCAAAGGTGCTCGTAAAGAAAACATTCATTCTCCAATTCATCCACGTGGCAAATACTTGCTCAACAGTCCCCACAGGGACGGTGAAACACAGGGCTCCTAACAGATAGGCTGCACTCGGGTCCTCGTGGGGCTCACAGACTACCAGGAAAGGAAGATTATAAAGAAAAAGATAACTAAGTAACATTATAAAACGGAGTAAATGTCCGAAGAAAACCCAGGAGCCAGAGAACAGTGGGGAGGGAGGCACAGGAGCAGGAGGTGGACATACTTGACACAGAACGAAAGCTCCAGCCGGGCGGGGGTGGGGCGGGATGTGCGGAAACTAACTTTCTGGGGTCGGGCTTCCGAGAGCCTTCCATCTGTGGATTACAGTCATTGTCATTCACGAACGCGCCAGCTAAAAACGAGAAACGTGAGGAGGACACCCTAACAAGACGTACTGACCGGGATGTTCCCCAACCGCACCCCGAAAATGACAGCAAATACACCATTCTGAGCCCCAGAAGGTGGCCAAGAAGGTAAACCATGTATTTCAAAGTTCAACTCGAAAGATCAAACACGGAAAAAGAAAAAAGAAAGACCTAGCATCAAAGTGGCAAACTGCAGATCACATCGCCAAAGGTTTTGACATTTCGGCCAAAACTCCAGGCGGGTGACAGTGACACGGCCGAAGAAGGCTCTGGCCTCGACACGAGTGGGTGTCACTGTTTCCATGACGACCGCGCCTCCCGAGCGCGGCTCTCCGCGTCTGTCAAACTTCCCATCAGCCCTAAAAGTCTCACCACAGACTAGCTCCGTATTAAAAAGCAAACACTAAACCCCTCAATCAACACAATGTAATTTCGCCAGAAAGTGGCTTTGAGGTGTGAGGCCCGTCAGGCACTTCCGCCTCCGAGCGAGACGCGCGGCCCCGGTAACGCGCACGGGTCCCGCTCCCTCCGTGCGCGCCGCCACGCGAGCCGCTAACAGGTTTTCACCGCACGGGCGAGGGCTCCACGTGGAAACACGGCTGGGTGGCCTTCGGGGGCTCCACAGCTAACCCGACGCGCCAGAGCCCCGGCGGCGATCCCTCGCCCCCCGCGACAAGCCGGCCCTCGCCCGCTCCCGGGCCTGCGCTCCGTGCGGGCGCGGCAGCGGTGG